TGGTGGGATCACTTCACTCCATTCGCGCTATTGTTTAACACACTTATGCCTTTTCCAGACGGCGTTCCAAGTATATTGTACCAACTACAAAGTCTCACCTGTCGAGGAAGCGCATCACTTACTGCGCAAGGCTCGTCGTCTGGATCGTATTATGAACATACGTCCTGACGGGGCGCATCTCCCACCAGAGCCGATTGTGGACATTGAGTGTGCCAAGTGCCAGGTACACTGGTCACCAATGTTCCATCCCCATCGAAATACGGATACAGGCGCACAACAAATGCTCTGTCATAAGTGTTATTGGTTTGAAGTGCCGTCGGAGTCCGTTGTGACGGCAGAGGCACACTCGAATGGTACGCTAGCTCTCGAAACCACAACGAACGGGATTTCAATCAACGGGAGATCCGAGCAGGCAGACAATACAGATAGCGCGAAACTTGTCGATAACCAACAATAAAGTTACACTTCCGGGTAAGTAATGCAAGGTCATATGTAGTATACAATATGATAACGTGAATGAATAGGGTGGAAATGAGATATATTGAAAACAAAGCATATAAATATAATGGATTTGTTTCAGGCTTTGATTCTCTTGTAGAAGAGAACATATGCTTTCTGACTCTGGATACGAAAAATACAATGAATGTCATGGTCAAGAAACGCAGAGTCAAGCCACTTACGACGACTTCCTTTGGGTCGACCTGCTTGATTGTACTATCGTCACAGTAGTTCCATTGCCCTCGAGAGGCTACGAATGCGGTGTCTGCAAACATAGCAGTGAGCATAAATTATAAATTCTGAAGCATGAGAAGACCGTACAATGCCCGCTGGACAGGTTGCCAACATGATTTGTGACACCGTACAAATCGTACTTGTATGGGGCATTCTGTGTACGCGGGTCGTCTAGAGGCAATGATTGACCACCGTTGACCAAGCTTCTATCGGCGTCTACAGATAATTGATCAGGCATATACGCTGACAAGTCGAGGTTCTTCAGGGGGAAGTCGACCCTCGTGTCAATCTTGTCGGAAAATCGACCATGAGCTTCAAACCGCTTGAGACTGATCAACAATACAGGAGGCAATCTGGCTAAAGAGAGGCGTTTTGTAGCCCGGCGCTTGGTCTTGCATTTCGGGCAATCCCTATTATCGAGAGTGTGAGATCGAGGGACGCTTGAAACCGATAGTACCTACCATGCGTCATCCTTTTCCAACACTTCCGTATTGAAGAAGAGGCCCAAACATTTCTGCAGAGTTGCGGCTCCACTTTTACTTGGAGGTACAGGCAATTGCAGCGTTGAAAATACGTTGTACGTCGTTGATGTCTTTGCGATAGAGTGAGAATGTGCTGGATCGAGGATACTGAGAGGACTAACCTGATGGCATGTATCGCACTGCAATCTATTACGCAGTTGTCCTTGAAAGAAGTCCACGATAATACTGTCGTTCCGAGTCCTCCACGCCTGCCACTCCCGCTCGCTGGCAATCTGCGGATGCAGCCGTTCTAGCTGTGCCTCTTCTTCGGGAGTCCGCTCATAACGGATCTTCCCAACAATCCGATTCAGATCCTCGTGTATCATATCCAGCAAAAAATTTAAAAACTCCTGCGAGTCATGTTGATCCTTGCCGTGATACTGGGGATTGTATCTCCGGATGGCCGCCTAGATTTCGTAGTCACTATAGAAAACACACGCGTCCCACAGAAGACCAACGTACCAAAAACTCTTCCGGGACTAACGATGACTCAGTTCCTGCCCACATTGAGTGCAGAAGTCGAGCAAAGTTATGCGTGACAACACCACGCGAATTGAGTGGATTATGCAAGTTGATGGCATTTTTGTACTTCAATTCTGTCAAGACAATGAATAACCTGTAAACGGCATGGCCCAAAATACAGAACTCACCGGTGAAGAATCTAGCAAAAGGCACTGTAGCACTGAGACATTGCATCGGCGCGTTCATATAGCATGTGTTGCCCATGTTCTTCAACCCAGTCAAGCTGATCGCATAATCCCCCCAATACGTGACAGGATACTGCGACGCAATGCGCGGGATATCGATATACTTCGCAGGCACGACGCCTGTCGCATTTGAGTGCACACGCGCGATCGGCAGCGGCGCAATCGCTTCCTGATGATAAGACGTGTACTTCGTCGCAAGTGTCTCTTGTGCCTTTGCCACATTCGATAAAGCCTCTTGCGACTGGTCGATGTAATCGCTGCGCCGCCCTGTCAGCGTTGGGTTGATTGACGCCTGCGGCGGGGACGCAATCGTGTCGAACTGTGATGACCCCGGCCCGGATACAGTCGGCGACATGTGTCGAGAGAAATTAGGGTATGCTATCGACGACACGCCGTTGCCAATTGCTGGTGATGAGGGCAAGCTCAAGGAAGGGAGGTCATTCGACCGTGTGCCATTCAGAGTTGAACGAGAAGTCGCGCCTGTCCACCGCGGCAGCGACGACAAGGGGAGCGAAAGTGACGCACTCCCTGGAGAATGTCGGCTTGTGCTTGCCATACCGTTGGAGAACATGCCCGACGAGGAAGGTAAGGTCGACACAAGGGACGAACTGATGGGACTAGGATATAATATCGGTTTATGAGGCTGTGGGGGAAGTGGTCGAGTGGTGGCGTCAGAGCTCTCACTCTGCTGCAATGGGCGTATAGTGGTGGACCTTGATGCAGTTGGCAGTATTGCAGAATTAGTCTCCGACCGTGCTCGCGGTGTCCATGACAGCGGCGATGCTGATGTTGAGAAGGGAATGGTTGGCAGAGTAGACAACACGTCGCTGGGGGGCGAACCGTTAACTGCGCCGTTGACCTTCAGCGCGCCCGATATCTCCCCATTCCCGCTCAAATCCGTACCCATGTGGGTTTTCGTCGTTACATCACCACTTCGATTAGCCACAAGCTTGGAATTACCGAATTCCTTTCGCCATGCATCAATACCACCAACGAGCATCATCGGCGGTTTCTGTAGAGGCTTTGTTATAGCCCGCTCGTAGATGAACATTGTCAGTCTGGCCAGGGCATGAGCAGGTTCATCGGAACTACCTGCTGCAAGCCTGCTGGGTGGGAAAGACGTCGATGACTGATTGTACATAACGACAAGATTGAACTTGTGTCGATTCTTGAACAAGCTCTGCTCGACTGATGGCGCTGCACTCATAGAGTCCTCAAGTTTATCTAAGGTCATGCTGCACCATGTACAGTCAGTTAATCGCGCAAAGATGGACAGTCGTGATACTACTCACTCTGGCCTCAATAGAACGAAAGGCTCGATGCAGATTACGCCATTGTCAAAATGTTCTCGCTCGAAGTCACCACGCACGCGTACATCGATTAGTAGTACCCTAAATGAAGTATGGCTCAATAACGGCGCGAGCTCTTTGGGTGTTATTGTATTTCCGCGAGGAACCGTTGGGCTACCAGGGACCTTGGGGCTGCCGGGAGATGCGATAGACAGATTGGATGGTTTCCGCGGTATCGGGGGCTTCGTCGGCGAAGCGGGCCGGCTGATATATGTTGTAGGGGGTATCGGGGTGCTCGATGGTCGGTCGGGCGGCAAGGCGAACGTGCGCAACGACGAGGGAGAGTCATTCCTCGTTTCACGAGACTCCGTAGAAACATGGCTAAGGCCAGTGGGCACCGAGGGCAGTATCAAACCGTCCAGCTCGTCGATGGACGGGAAGGCCTGATTGAACTCGACCACGTTTGCCGGTGGAGACGGCGTTGATTTCGGCGACGGAGGACCTAGACTGGACGTAGGCACGAATATATGTGAGGATGTCGACACTGGCGACGAAGGGCCATTGCTTGAGCTAGCACTGAGAGGATGAAGCGGAGGTAGTATGTTGGTGTAGACACTGGGGGGAGATGTCGGGGGCTTTGGCAGTTCTCGCGAGCGGGGACTCTTGTTAGAGACGGCACCCGGTAGACCGTTCGTGCGCAAAACTTTGATGCGGTCTTGAATTGACATGCGGGGTGTGCTGCACAATTCATAAGCCCGCAACGGACATCGGAGGGATAGAAAGCCATACGTCTCGGCATCGTGAGCCTGCTCCATCTGCTTCAGCTTGTCTTCAATCGACTTCATCTTGTCGAGCATGTTCTTCCCCGCCTTGGACTTGACCAGGATCAGGACGGTACAACACGCATCGACATATGATATAAACCATTACCTGCCAGAACACCGTTATGCAATTCTTGAGGACGGGGTCTTCCAGCTCGGGCGAGGCGAGCACGGTCTGGACGAGGACACCAGCGATGGTGTAGTGATAGAGAGCGGCCTTGAGCTCGCCCTTGGCTTCGTACTTCGTGGCCTCAACGCATTGCGTTTCCGCGGAGCCCAACCGAGTTACATACGATATATTGCGGGTGAGAGTGGCAGCCCTAGTGCGTGCCTTGTCCTTGATTTCCTGAATGCTATCATCATCTGGAAGTACGGTTACAGGTCTGATCAAACGGCGCAACTCGCTGTCGTCGTTGACGGCGTCCACTCACTGATAGAACTATCCATTGACAACCCAGGCATGCCACAACTTGCAGGAAGATCTATGCGACGACGACGAAAAATAAGTAGCACTGCACCGCAGTGCCCGCGAGCACTGACTTGTCCGTCGGTTGTGACAGTGGTCCTTTACCGCCACCGCGGAGCTATTTGCCCATATTGAGTCATTATTTATCCGCCGTATCTTCCAAAAAAAAGAACAATATAACTCCTTACGAACATCTGAAGCACGCGGGCTCAGCGCTCAGCGCTCAGCTCATACATACACCAAATATTATGAAATATGTATAGGAAACGTTGCACCAAAATCGGCAATCGATCCAATGAGTCATTCGCTGAAGCGGGCGTAAATTATCATAGATTTGTGTTGTGAATTCAAACGCATTATTATTGGGCCTGCTTTCCACATGCAAATATAGTTTTGTTGTTCTTTTCTCGTGTCTGCTGTGCCCCGTCTACAAAAGACCAACAGCTCCCACAGTCCAGAATGGAGTCCCCTTAGTGCAATGGTTAGCACGTCAGACTTCTATGAATTAATAATATCTGAAGGTTGCGAGTTCGAGTCTCGCAGGGGATATATGAGGTCGTATTTTTCTCGAAAAAGGAAATTTTCTTCTACAGACAAAGTCGTCTGTTATTTCTTGTATTCCTTTTAGCCTGCAGAGTTCTTTCGATCGCTTGTCATTGTGATTTCTGTATTTACTCCGTGCACAAAGAACCAGCGAGAAGGATTGCCACGTGGACGGTCTGCTTAGTCATACGTGGTCTTAACGCGGACGCGCGTCGTGCCCACAACACTTGTTCTATCTTTTTACCTTCCACCGTGTTTCCCCTTCCCCTGCTCCACTTGATTGCAATATGGCGGATCCTAGCGGTGCACCACCTCAGCCTGGCGAGAATGACATCTCCACTGCTATTCTGCGTCCAAAGAAATCGTACGTGGCGTCACCTCAAATTTGATGTATATGTGCAAACAACTCATTCATCGCAGGCCCAATCGTCTGATTGTCGACGAGTCTAGCCAGGATGACAACTCAGGTATATCCTGCCTCATACTTTCTGCTTAGCCTGTGATATCTGAGCCAAGTTACAGTTGCCACCATGAACCCGGCGACAATGGAGACATTGTCGCTATTCCGTGGCGACACGATCATCATCCGGTATGCAACCTTTCGTTTACTGACCTTTATTTCGTCTTGATTTATGTGTGCGATAGTGGCAAGAAGCGCCGTGACACCGTTCTCATTTGCTTAAGTTCGGATGACGTCGAGGAGGGCCGAATTCAGATGAACAAAGTCGCGCGCAATAACTTACGTGTCAAGCTCGGCGATCTTGTGTCGGTACACCAATGTCTGGACATCAAGTACGGGAAACGCGTGCACATATTGCCCTTTGATGACTCGATCGAGGGTCTCTCGGGTAACATATTCGATGTCTACCTCAAGCCTTACTTCCTCGAGGGTCAGTGAAGTTTTGATCTCGTCTAATTGTTGTCTCACTTTCGCTCAGCATACCGACCCGTGCGCAAGGGCGACACTTTTTTGGTTCGTGGTGGCATGCGAACCGTTGAGTTCAAGGTGATTGAGACCGATCCTGCCGAGTTTTGTATCGTCGCACAAGATACAGTAATTCACACAGGTAAGCCGCCGCCTCCTTTCATTCCCTTCGGACTAGCTCACCGGCTTCAGAGGGCGACCCTGTTAAGCGAGAAGATGAGGAGTCGAGCCTCGCAGATGTTGGCTATGACGATATTGGTGGGTGCCGTAAACAGATGGCGCAGATCCGCGAACTCGTCGAGCTACCTTTGCGTCACCCGCAACTCTTCAAGTCTATCGGTATCAAGCCGCCGCGCGGCATCCTCATGTTTGGCCCGCCTGGTACGGGTAAGACCCTGATGGCGCGTGCGGTGGCTAATGAGACCGGCGCTTTCTTCTTCCTGATCAATGGTCCTGAGATCATGAGCAAGATGGCTGGTGAGAGTGAAAGCAATCTCCGGAAAGCATTCGAGGAGGCGGAGAAGAATTCCCCCGCAATCATTTTCATCGATGAACTTGATTCCATCGCGCCTAAACGTGAAAAGACTAACGGAGAAGTCGAGCGCCGAGTGGTTTCTCAGCTGCTCACCCTCATGGACGGATTGAAGGCGCGTTCGAACGTCGTCGTCATGGCCGCCACTAATCGGCCCAACTCAATTGATCCTGCTCTGCGTCGATTTGGCCGTTTCGATCGTGAAGTCGATATTGGCATTCCTGACCCCACTGGTCGCCTCGAAATTCTTCGTATTCACACGAAGAACATGAAACTAGCCGACGACGTTGACCTGGAGCAGGTAGTCGTTGATTTGTTGCTTTATTTTGTGGCTTAGCCTTGCTTATCCTCTACTTAGATTGCTGCAGATACGCATGGTTATGTCGGCTCTGATATTGCGTCTTTATGCTCGGAGGCTGCTATGCAGCAAATCCGTGAGAAGATGGACTTGATTGACCTCGATGAGGACACCATCGACGCGGAGGTGTTGGACTCACTAGGCGTCACAATGGACAATTTCCGCTTTGCCCTTGGCTCATCGAACCCTTCAGCACTCCGCGAAACCGTTGTCGAGGTGCCGACCGTCAGGTGGGATGACGTCGGTGGTCTCGAGAAGGTCAAGCAAGAGCTGCAGGAGACTGTCCAATATCCTGTCGACCACCCCGAGAAGTTTCTCAAATACGGCATGTCCCCGTCAAAGGGAGTCTTGTTCTACGGTCCGCCTGGTACGGGTAAGACCATGTTGGCGAAGGCCATCGCCAACGAATGCAATGCCAATTTCATCAGTATCAAGGTCAGTTTGAGTTTTCATCGGGTTCAGTTCCAAACATTGAAGACGCATGTTCTCAGGGCCCGGAACTTCTCACGATGTGGTTCGGTGAGTCGGAGGCCAACGTCCGCGATGTCTTTGACAAGGCTCGCGCCGCTGCACCTTGTGTTATGTTCTTCGACGAGTTGGACTCCATTGCGAAGGCCCGTGGCGCATCGGCTGGTGATGCTGGTGGTGCCAGCGACCGTGTGCTGAACCAGATCCTTACGGAGATGGACGGTATGAACACGAAGAAGAATGTGTTCATCATTGGTGCGACGAACAGGCCAGACCAGATTGACCCGGCGCTGCTTCGACCCGGTCGCCTTGATCAGCTTATCTACATCCCGCTTCCTGACGAGCCATCGCGTCTATCCATCCTCAAGGCGATGCTCAAGAGGTCGCCAGTCGCGAAGGACGTCGACCTTGCGTTCCTCGCCAAGTCAACGCACGGCTTCTCTGGTGCAGATATCACGGAAATTTGCCAACGTGCAGCGAAGCTTGCTATCCGCGAAAGTATCGAGGCTGATATCCGACGGTCGAAGGAGAAACAGGACGCGGAGGACGGTGACACAAAAATGGAGGAGGACGAAGAAGACGAAGTTCCCGAGATTACACGCCTGCATTTCGAGGAGGCAATGAAATATGCGCGCCGCTCTGTGTCGGACCAAGACATTCGTCGTTACGAGATGTTTGCGCAAGTGAGTTGCTTCTTTTTTGCCTGTTTTGGAAGTGGCCATCTTTACATATGTCGGCGACAGAACCTGCAGCAGTCACGTGGATTCGGAAACAGTTTCAAGTTCCCGGAGGGCGATGGCAGTGCAGCCCCCGCTGCACAGACATCGCTCAGCAGCAATGCCGGATTCACCGACGACGCGGGCGATGACGACCTGTACGCGTAAAATGGAAGTGTGATTGCCATAAACGATGGTCAGCTCAGTATAGAATGCATACATATCCCTGTGTCGCTGTATTTGATTTCAGTTGTAGTTCTTGTGATGCTTATGAATGGCAAAATTCTGTTAATGGTTCTCCATTAAGAATGCTTGAAATTTCCAGTACAGCAGTTCCAGGTATTTAGGCCTCAGGCCTCCGTACTGAGTCTTAGGACTGATAGCAACGTGACTCATGAGCCCCAGCCAAAACGGCCCCCATTCGGTTCGATTGAGATGAGTCAAAAGCGATAGGACCGCGGAGAATCAACTGATATATGCAATACATTGTGACTTGAGTGAATTACTTTACCTTGATTCTTTCATTCTGTTGCGAAACAGCTGTTTCGGATGCATTCGAAGCCCTCGACCGACTTAGCAAAGTCCCGATTCTTTGACTTCAACTTGACATCAACATGGGTCTTGTGTTCGGCTGGAGAATCGCACTCATGTCAGCATCGGACATTCAAAGTACGGTAACTGCCGAAGTCACCTTGTTGACCGCTGCCGCGTGACTTCGCACAGATTCTTTGACTTGTTCTTGACTCTCATCGGACACCACTACTGCTCGCTGTTGGCCACCCGTTTTTGTGGTCTTGGAGGTGTGTTCTGTCGTCCTTTACATTGTGTCTCATTATGTTTTACTTTTGTCAGGTTGTGCAAGCCTTCCTTGCAACACTGTGGATGGTGCTCGCAGCAGACTCTGAGCTGTCCGGCTTGACCTGTCTGGCTGGACCTACGGCCTATCCTCCGATATACTCATCATCGGCACGGTGCTGCGCGCGAGGCTGACAATGGACATACTTGCATTCTGCAGTGTGCTGAGGCCAACGGAGCTGCCACCGCTGGAGGGCCCTCGTAATATGACAAGGTCAGCACCGCGGGATCGATATAGTGGCATTGAATTGACGAGCATCATGCTAACAGGTTTTTTACATGACCATGGGCTTTTGATAGTGGCAGCAAGGGCTGTGATGGGAGCGGCAGCGGCAACTGGGATAGCAGCGGCAGCGGCGGTGTTGGTGGTCACTGGTGGCAGCAACAGTGGCGGCGGCGGCGATGCATAGTCACCGCACTGCAGCAGCGCAATGGGGTGGCGGGCTAGCAGGCGGCGGCATCAGTATGTATTGTACACATACATGTATTTTTGATGTATCTCAGTAATAAATATACTGTGTTGATTCATTTCCATTGAGATCATTGAGAACATTGATTCAAATATATTTAGAGGAATGCATACAGATAGAGAAAAGCTGTCGGCAATGTAACCGACAATACATGTGACGAAGCTCTCCTAAATCATACCAACTTGTCTCAAACGACCTCTACTGATTTTGGCCTTCACTAAAAGGCTCATTAAGGTTTAGGTCGGTTCTCACCGATATACGTCGATATATTGGTGTTAATCGGCCTCTATCGGCCTGAATAGAGGCCATTTTGGCTGGGCATGAGCGCTTGAGCAGTCCTCGTTGGTTCCTTCGAGCTGCATTTTCACGCACGGGAAAGTTTACCATCTCTCCTCGTTCGTTTTTTCCGCTTCCCCCTTCGCCAAACTGTCGTTAAAACCTATCTTTGCAAAACTCAAATCCCAGGAACTATTTAGGACCTCTTAGGACGCGATTCCGAGCGTGACGGGTGTGAGGTGTGACATGTGACAGGTGTGACTAAAATGTTCCCGGTCCGTCGATGGAAATCATTTTGGTCATTTCGACTTGGAACTAACTATCACAAGTTGCATCACCGCTGCTTGCAGCTCTCCTGCCCTTTCACTCCCCACTCTTCGATGAACTGTAGGGCCGTCGCGACGTG